TATGTCTGTAATTTCAGCTACTTGGGAGGCTGAGGCAGGAGAATCACAAGTTAGAGGCCAGCCTGGGCAACTTAGTGAGACTCTGCCTCAAAATAAAAAAATTTAAAAAGGGCTAGAGGACGTAGTTCAGTGTTAGAGTGTTTTCCTAGTATGTGTGAAATCCTGGGAAAACCAGTGGGAGCAGAATCTCAGAGAAGGAATTGTGCCTGGATGAACTGGTTTTGTTTTTTCCAGTTATGGGTGTCAAACCCTGCCTGGAGGGTCTGAAGCTTCTCCACTTCTGGGGCCACACATTCTCCCCTGTTTTCCAGCGCCACCCAGGGTAGCCAGGTGAGATCACTCCTAGGCTTGGGGGAATTCTAGAGGTCAGTGAGGGAGGTTCAGAAGGACCAGGCTCAGGCACTGTGAACTTCATCATCTCGGCAGATCTGTACAGCAGGCTGTATGACGGCAGCATCAACCCCATTTTACAGGAGAGAAAACTGAGGCCAGAACAGGTGCCACACTCAAGGCACGAGGCTAGGGACAGGAGTCAGGCTTCAGCCCAATCACTCTACCTTCAGTGCTCTTTTCCCATCCCCAAGTTGCTTCTCAAGGAGAAGGACTTTAAGGGCCTGTCCTCTTTGCCCTGTTTCCAAATAAGGACTTTGTTCCCTGCTCTTCTGTACACTCTCACCACCTTTAGGAGCTGGGCCTCTGAGGGCTCAGAGAGGGTGGCCAGAAAAAGGCAAGGACCAGAGCAGGCAGGAACCCCCAGATTCTGGACTGCACCCTCTCTCGGCCCCAGCCTGCATCTGCCAGTTCATAAATTCCATTATTCATCAAGTGATTGCATGAGTTTGCCCGGACGATGAATATTTTATTCACCTCCAGACACTGTCCCCAGCGGGTTCTTGGAACAATATTGTTCTCCAGCCAAGGAGCAGAGGCCAGAGCCTCTGCTGTCACTGGACACCCCTTCCCTGCCACCTGTACCTCCTCATCTCCCAGTACCTTCTCTCCCAGCAGGCCCCTTGGTTCGGGCAGGGCTGCAGTCAGTGGTCTAGGCATGACCTTGGACTTGGTGCTTACCCGCCCTCCACTTTGATTTCCTCCTCTGGACAGTGGGTTCATGGATCTCTTTGGCAGGCTGTCCAGGGGCCCTCTACTATATCATCTTCCCCTGAAGGACCCTGGGTTCTTCTGGGAACTCTCCCTGGTGCTGAACACAGGTGGCAAGAGGATGCGGGTGTTGGATGAGAGGTCTAGGAGGGGCCTGTGCTGGTCTTGAGGACAGAAAGTTCCAGTGTTCTGGGGGGACAATCCCAGTCTCGGGAGGATAAGGACCAGGCTGGTCCTGAGAGGAAGGAGTTTGGTCTCTGGACACTGTAATTCCCCCTTGCCTTTCTGCCACTTGGGGAAACCCAGAGTCACAGGTTTCAGTGGATCGCCTTTCCTGTTATCTCTAGCCCCCTGAGCCAAGGATTAGTAGGTGAGGTCCATTGAGCCTCTTCTTGGGGAGGCCCAAGGCCTGCACATCTTCTGGTGGGCACCCAGGGAGTGCAGTGTGACAGCGGCAGCACCTTCCCCAGATGGGGGAGCGACAGACATAATTCACACCCTGAAATCATGCCATCTGCTCCCATGACGTGTAGAGGAGAGGACAAGACTGCCCTGCCGCAGGGCGGGCGGGTGAACAATCATTCCATTCATTGTCTCATTCATTCATTCAACAGATCATCTTCCCAAGCTCAGTTCGGCCCTGTGCCAGCTAAGAGAAATGGGAGACCCCAGGAGATGCAGACCCAGACCCTGCCCTCCAGAGCTCAAGAGTGGTCCTCTATACTTCTGAGCTTTTGCCCACCCTGGTTCCTCTCCCCGGGTATCCCCAGATTTGTAATAAGAGCCACCAGATTCTGTGTTCTGAGCACTTTACATGCAGGATCTTATTGTTCATTCAAGGGCTAGATGCATTCCCATTGAATAGATGAGTAAACCGAGACTCAGAGAGGTCACACAGAAAGCTCTGGCTTCTCCATGAAGAGCTCTGACTGCTCATGACACTGCCTCCCCGACTCCTCATCCAGAGACTTTTCAAATCCTGCCACCATGATTCTCTCTAAAAACACCTCCCCCAACCTTTCAGCAGAGCACATGAACTCCAGTCTTGCGATACTGCTCAGCCCTCTGACCCTTGCTTTGTGAGCCCAGGTGGAAGCAGCTCTATCCTCTGAGTTCTGGCCTGAGATGTAGGGCCTGGCACCCAGGGTCTGCCCAATGAAACTTGGTACTCAGCAGTGGAGGGCTGAAGAGGTCAACAGTGGTTCCCAGAGGCAGCAGGACTCCAGCTGAGCCTGGGAGAGCACAGAGAGATCAGCATGACCTAGCCTGCTCCCTGGAGTCCCTGTGTCCGCCCTGGACTCCAATCCCCCAGCTCTGCCTGTGGCTGTATAGCCCAACCTGGTCCTTTCGGCTCCCTCAGCAGACATGTCCTTGCCTGTGAACGGGGGCAAGGCATGATAATGGGGGCTGGACAGTCCCATGCACAGCCCGAGGGTGTCCCATGTATTCCCCAAGGAGACAGAAAGAGGAACAGATACAGCTGTGGCATGTGGAGGTGTGGTTCTGACCAGCAGCCCCCACTGTGTGGAAAGCCAGCATCATGGGCTATGGCTTTGCATCAGGCGAGAGGACAGGGACTGAGTCACCAGGGGACTGGGATGACAAAGATGGCCCAAATAGTGGGGTGCACCACAGCGTTAGACTATAATCCCCAGCAAGCCATGCACTTTTGGCCTGGAAGGAGATGGCCTCGGGGAGTACCCTGGTCACAAGACAGACAGACCCCTTAGACCAGACAGACCAAGGCCAAAATCTGGGGGGAGGCTCATGTCTCCATGGATATCCAGATCCTCCCTCAGGACAGACTCACAGGGCCTGGCCATCCTCGGGAGGCTCACTTGATTTGTGCTTGATTCACTCAGGGACTTTTTCTGTCCCTTCTTTTTGAAAATTCTCCACCCGGGTGGCAAAACCAGGAGCTGCAGAGGACTCAGGGGGAGCTGCCCCTCCATCAGGCGAGTGCCAACGTGCTCTGCAGCAGCCTCCCAGGGAGTTGCTGGGAGCTGAGTTTCCTGCCAGCCCCTCAGCCCTCCCTCAGCCCAATTTCCAACTGGCTGGCTGGGCCAGGGCAGCCTGGACACTCAGCAAACTGAGTACTACTGCAGCTCATGCTCTCAATCAATACTCAATGCTATAATTATTATTAATTCATATTCCTGGGGGGGGGGGTTCATTCTAATAAGAAACTCCCAAGAGATGGAGGAAGGCACTCATATTTTTTTAATTTGTTCATCCTCATTGCTGCCTGAGGGTGGCATTGCCACTCTCATTTCACAGGTGGGCAAACTGAAGCCCTAGGAGGTTAAGGGGCATGATTAAAGTACTATGGCAAAGAGGAAGCAGAGGGAGGAGCCAGGTCTGAGTTCTTTCTTCCTCCCATCTCTGCTGCATCAGAAACTCCAAAGGAGCTCAAAGCATTCAGTTGTATAGGTGGACAGTCAGACAACGGAACAGGTGGGAGAGGAAAGCTTTGGGGTGGGGACCTTGTGGGGCCTCTCACACCTCCAGCCCAGGTCTTAACAGGGTCTCCCCCCATATGCCTGGGGAGACAGATAGATGGACAGCTGGGGTCTTTCCTGGATCCTCTGCAGGTTGTGGGTGCTACTGGAGTAGCCCAAGAAGTGCTGAGGCCCAGGACTGGCTTACTGAGTCCCCTCTCTCCAGGCCTGGAGACAGGGATATGATTAATCAGTGACAAAAGCAGAAACAAGCAGAAAAAATGTAATCAGCTTGGGAAGGGCAGGGCCGGGCAGGGCTATGGCAATCAGCTTTCCTGCTGGGGCCTTTGGCTGATTGGACCCAAGGGGGCAGGGAGATAATTCTGCTGGGGGCTTCACAGATAAGACCTAGACTGAGGCCAACCCAGGTCAGAAGGTCATCATCCTGTATACACCCAGGCCTCTCCCAGCCCAAGGACTTGCACATCTGGCCCCACCTGCCCATGGGTTCTTGCCCCTTCCCCCTCCCCTGCTAGTTCACAACCATGGCATACACAAGTGACCAACACTCCTAACACTCATCCATCTACACGTAGATGGAAAACACATGTACGAACACTCGGTGGCACATGTACACTTTGAGAAAAAAGATATACGCATGCACATGCTGCTCTCTCAAACACTTGCCACCCCCCACCCCCACCCCCACACATGCTCTGGGCCTAGGGAAGCCCTGCATGCACATTAAGTGTGACTTGCAGCCACTTGAACACACAGGCCCTCATACCAGACCCCACAGGCTTGAGGCCCCATCTCTGTCCCTCCCTGAGGCCATGAGACAGACCAGGGCTCCCCATTTGCAAATGGAGTGACAGAAGCTTGGGAAGGATCTAGGACTGGGGCCCCATTCTGGGGAACAAGGTCAGCTGCTAGTGTCAGCCACAGGACAAGGAAACCTGCCCCAGACCTGTCCCCTTCTCCTGCCTGCTGCCCACATTCCATGACCTTGGTCTACGTCCTTCTCTCAGCCTCAGTTTCCCTACCTTGAGCTTCTCCTGGCACCAACACCAGGCTACTTCTTGAGGAACCAGGCATCTGGGACTAACCTCACATTTCTGGATCTCTGGTCCTCAGTTTCCAGGTCTCAGCTCCTGGGGGAGGGAGGCAGGGACTGTGGGGGAAGGTGGGTCAAGGGGTTCGAAGGAAGGGCCCCATCCTAATTCACCCCCATCCTGGTCCTGGTGGCTGCGAATGTGAGGTGTGGGAGATGAGGTGTGGGAGACGAGAAATCTGAGGGAGACCTACGGGAAAAAGGAGAATCCGGGGCCGAAGGGAGGAAGGAGCCCGGGAGGGCTTGGGGCGGCCGCTCAGGGGCCGGCGGCGGGCAGGGGCGGGAGGGGGGAGCGCGGAGGGGGCGGGCAGGCGGCGGGCGGGGGAGGCGGGGAGCGCAGCTAGCGCGGCACAGAGCGAGCGAGCGAGCGAGCGAGCAGCAGAGGCGGCGAGAGCCGGAGCGGCTGGCCGGGCGGCCGCGCCGGCGAGCGGACGAGCCAGCGGCGAACAGCGCGGAGCGCGCGGGGAACTGAGGAGCGGGCGCGGCGGGCGCAGCGCGCGGCGGTCGGAGCCGAGAGGCCGGAGCGGCGCCGCCCCCGCCGCCCCTGCGGGGCCCCGGCTGGGAGCCCGAGGAGGGAGGGGGCGGCATGGCCCGGCGGCCCGGGGCGCGGGGGCGTTAGGCCCCCGGAGGGGCGCCCCTAGCCTCGCGCCGCCGTCCTCCGCAGCCGCGCGCCCCGCCCGCTCCAGCCGCCCCGGGGGCCACCGGCGGCCCATGAGCCCCGGCCTCAAAGTTTGCGGCGGGCGGGCGGGCGCGGAGCCTCCAAGATGCCGTTCCACCCGGTGACGGCGGCGTTGATGTACCGGGGCATCTACACCGTGCCCAACCTGCTGTCGGAGCAGCGCCCCGTGGACATCCCTGAGGACGAGCTGGAGGGTGAGTGAGTGCCCCGTCGGGACCCCTGCCCGCCGGCCCTCCTACCTGTGCGCCCAGGTGAAGCGCCGGCTAGGGGCGCAGCGGGGCGGGGGGCTGTCCGCAGGTACCGGCAACCAAGTGGACCGCTCCAGCGAGCAGCTGCGCGGGAGGCAGGATCGGTTCGCACCCCTGGGCGCCGCGGTGAGGGTAGCCGAGGCGGAGGGGCGGCCCAGCCCCTGGCCGCGTGGTCCCCTGCGCTGCGGAAACTTGCCGGGCCCCGCAGCAGGGTCAGCGGGCCGCGCAGCCCGCGGTGACGGTGCGGCAACGCGGTGGACTGGGGTGGGAGTCCGAGCTACGCCCCCCGCGCTGGCCGGGCCAGAGTACCCGCATCCCGATCCCCTCCGCGGCGCCCGCCCGTGGCTCTGCGCTCGCATTGACATTCCGCTCGTGTCGCTTTAAAAATCCAATCTGCTTGGGCAGCCGGAGAAGGGGAGAGGGCGACTGCCCTGCTCTTGCGGGTTGTGGGGCTTCCCCCAGCCCCTTCTGAGGCCGTAGCCCCTTCCCCTCAGCTCTGCGGGGACCCCCCAGCCCGGAGCGCCCGGAAGGCGGCCGGGGAGGCGGTGGCGACAACAAGTGGCCGGATTGGGCGGCTCAGTCGCGATAGCCAAGCTTAGAAGGGAAAGGCAGAGAGGCAAGGACCGAAACCTGCCCCTTACCCCAGTCCCTTGGCCTCTCAGACATGAATGGGGACCGCAGGCAACTGTCTAGAAGAAATCAGAACAGGCGACCGCAGCTGGGGTCCTCAGAAAGAGTGTTCTGGGGAGCAGTAAGACCCCTAGGGCCTGCCCAACTCTTTCCCTGCTGAGGTGGGGGGAGGTGCTCATGATTCCCCTCCCCCAGACCTCCTGGTGCCCCATATGGAGTGGAGTTGGGGGCTCTTGGCTGATGGGAGTCTTGGCCTCTTGGGATCTGCTTGTCTGCTGCTGGGGGAGGGGCTGAGATCACCTCAAGGATGAGCCTCTCTGGGTATCTTGGGTTGAAGGGTCTCTCAGATCTGGGGTCTCATTACGGCTGATTAATGTACAACCTAGGGAACAGTGCAGTTAGGGATGGTGGTGGGAAGCCATGAAGGGAGTTCCCTCCAGGTCTCTAAGCTGGAATGGGGCAGCTCTTTGGGGAGTCAGACTGGGTCTGGGGAAGATCCAGAGAAGGCAGACACCACCACACTCACTGCACCACAAGACCAGGGGCCACCTGCTCCTCACCAACAACCCACACAAACCCTTGGGTTCCAGGAAAGCTTTGGAGGCCGGGTCTGGGCTCTGGTGCAGGCAGGACAGATGGAGGGACACTGGTTTCCCTGCCCTGGCCTTATCATTCATTCCCAAAAGCCCAAGTCCCACCCTCTCTAGACCAAAGCCCATGGTTCAGAGCTTCCTCTAGGGCCTGGGAAAAGGAGGGGGCATGATGAGGGGCAAGAGGCAAGGGAAGGGGCATAGGCCATCTTTTTCCCATCTTCATTCCCTCCTGCCTTGGGCCAACCAGACCTCCTGCCAGTTTCCCCCTCCAGAGACCCTCATCCTGGTCATTTCTTCCTGGTCACTCAAACAGGGGGCCACATGCTTCCCCACACCCCAGGCAGCTTCTACCTCATTCCCTTCCCTTGCTCCAAGCACCTCCAACATGACCCTGGCACCCCAGCTCTAAGCCTCATTGGATCCCTCCTTCCCTGATCCTCAATCCTGGCGTGCATGCTCTGAGAGAATCAGAGAGTGGGCTGGGATGCAGGGGTGAGTGGGCCACAGGGTGGGCAGTCCAGGGGCAAGGAGGCTGCAGGCTCCCCTTGGGCCACCTAGCCGACATGTTGGCAGGAGCCCAGCGGCGTTAGTCACCATCACACCAAACACACTCCCTGCTTCTCTCCCGCCCCCTTATCCTGGGCTAGCAGAGGGGCCCTAGTGCAGGGGGCACCTGAAGGGCAGGGACCTCCCTGAAGCCATCGGGTGGAGGGCATGGGACCAGCAGATACCAGGGTGGCCCTGGGCCATCTCCTGGCCTGCGGGCATCTACAGATGAAGACACAAAGACTGACTGACCCCCTTCTCCGCTGCAGGAACCTCAGAAGCCCTCAGAAGGTCCTGGGCTCCTTGCAGGGGTCCTTGAATGCCAGGGCAGGGTAAAGAGAGTGGCCATCCCTGGCACCAATCCCTTTTCTGCTGCCTCTTTAGTGCTCCACTGGTGCTCCTTCCCCGGGACTGTATGGATAAGACCCAGGCCCTTGGCTGGGAGGAGGCCCTTCGTGGGGGAGCCACATGTGCCAGGAAGAGGGAGCCAGGCAGACTGGGATAAAACACTGCAGTTTGTGTCTGCCTTCACTGAAATCCAGGGGGCAGTCAGTCTGCGTGGGGAGGAAGATGAGGAAAGGGGATGGGGAGGGCAGCCTTAGGATGAAGGCTTCCCAGCCAGATAAAGCTAAGTTCAGATCTCTGCACCCTCTGCTCATGGAGTGACCTTGGACAATCTCTTGCTTCTCTCAGCCTTGGTTTCCCTGTATGTAAGGAGGGGGTTGGTATTGCTCTCCCGGGGGGTCCTGCAGGTAGAGGATGCATTGAAAGTACTCAGGACAAGGCCTGGCAGCGTGTCAGGGGTCCCACCATCACAGCAGGGGAGATTGAAGAGGGGATGCTGGAGGAATATAAGCCTGGAGTGTGTAGTGTCCGTGAGGCAGGGCTGTAGGGTGTTCAAGAAACTGGGTGAGGAAGGCAAGCTGGGGGGCTAGGTCTGGCAGAGGCACTTGGGAACCTGTGGCCCTGGGGAACTCTGGATGGCAGTTGATAGGGTAGGGGCATGGCTGGGCAGAGCTGGCTTGGGGCCTACGCAGCCCCACTGAGGGAATGGGAAGAGCTCCGTCACATTCCCTCTGTATGACACACTATGGCTGCGAAGCACCCCCGTTCTGCCAGGCACCCACAGCAGAGGCCTCCAGGGGTCCCAAGGCATCAGTGGGCTTGAGCACCTGAGGGTGGGAATGAAATAGCTGCAAGCCATCACCCTTTCTGGCCAGGGACAGATGAAAAGAGTATGTAGGTAGGGAGATGGCCACCCGGGCAGGGTTTGGGGGTTGTCCAGGAAGACAGTGAAGACTGCATTGAGAATGGCCAAGTGGAGACCTTCTGGGGAGGAGGAGCCTGGGTAGTCTCCTTTCTGCCTCTGGTCCCTGCAACCTGAGCCCAGCAGCCGCCTCTGCACAGGCCAAAAACTCAGGGAGGCTGAAGAGGTGGGGCGCAGGGCCAATGCCGCGGAAATGACAGCCTCTGCAGAGGATGGACACTGCCCCTTCCAGTGACCTCCATTCCGTGCCCCTTCTCTGGACTCGGGCTCTCTTGACAGAGCGCTGGTGGCCTTTGGGGCCTGCTAGGGACTCAGGCCCTGACATAACTCCACAGGTTAGGGAGGGGGCTGGGGGATGTTAGCCTGGGGTGTCAGGTGGGGTACAACGTTAGCCTGGAAACCCGGTGGCCCTGCCAGTCCATTCCTGAGCCAGGCATCCCCATGCCAAGATGGAGCACAGCAGGTTTACCCTGGCCTCATGCGGCAGGAAGGGAGCAAGGCTTTCGGGGAAATGTGCTGGGCTGTGATATGTTGATGGCACACAGAGACTGGGAGTCATGACATCTATGCCTCTCAGGGACCACCTACTCCTTATTCCACCCCCTACACACACAGAGGCCAGGCCTCAGCCATCAGGCAGGAGTCTCATCCCCATTTCACAGACCAGGCACCTGAGGCTCTGAGAGGGAAGTGCCTTGCCCAAGTCACCTGGCTCGGGACAGCAGAGCCAGAACCTAAGCCCAGGCCTTGGGTCCTGGCCCCAGCAGTGGGCAGACCAGCCTGGCATCCCAAGTTCTCCCTCTCCTTCTGGCTCTACCATCTGGGACAGTCTGATTTACAGCCAGGCCTGGCCAGCACTTACACGCTTGATTTTCTTGCTTAATCATCCCAGAAAGTCCCATTGTACAGGTGAGCAAACTCAAGGTCACCCAGCCAGGGTAGAGGAGGTTGGGTTTTGAACCTGGGTCTGTGTGATATCAGGATGCCTCCCTGACCAAGGAAGGTGGAGCCTGAACTGGGTCTGTGTGGGCACAGGGGCTTAATGGGGTTGCGGGGCTCCCGGACTGTGGTACGAACTGGTTGTGCAGTGAAGGGTGGGTGAAGGGACACGTGGATGGGGAGGTGGAAGGCTGTGGATTTACCTAGTGGCCTTGGGAGGTCAGTCCTGCCTGAGACATGGCCCTGGGACCTGCTGGGCTGCCTCAGAGCCTCTTGTCCACCTGCCTTCCTTCCACTGCCTCTGCTCCTGTGTGGTGCCTTTCCTCAGGGTCTCCAGGGAAAGGAGTTGGGTTCCAGTTGAGGCAGCTCTGGCAAGGTGGAAGGAACATCCGGGAACTCAGCTCACTGGAGGGATGAAGGGGGCTGCCTCTGCAACTTTCAGTGTCCAGGGCTTTGCCAGCCCACCCTGAGATGCCCAAAGAAGCCTGTAGAGAGGGGGAGACCAAAGACTTGGAGAGACTTGGTACCCGATGCTGGGTCCCCCTGCCCCAATCAAGTCCCTGGGTCAGCAGCCCGAGGGTGGTCCTCCACCTCTGCCTTTGCTCCATTTCCCATTTCTGTGGCTGGCTCACAGGGTGGGTGAGGGTGCTGCCCTTTGAAGGCTGGGCAAGGGGACAGGCAGCCTCCTCAGCCTCCCTTCCTGCTTCTTCCCATTGCTGACTGTTAGCGGGCTCCAAGTGACGGCCTCACGACGAACGGTGCGTGAACTTCTGCTCAGCTGCTTTCTCTGTGTGCCCCAGTGGGTGGGTCCCCACATCAGTTATTCAGTTTCGTCATTCATCCAGCAAATGTTTATGCTTGAGTGACAGGCCCTGTCTCAGGTCATGGGGATAAGTCATGAATAAGATCCCCCGATCCCTGCTCTTACAGCAGTCATAGTTCACCATTCAGTGTGGGGGAACAGCAGGTCTGTGGGGCCCCAGAGGAGAGCCAAGGTCAGGCAGGGGCAGGGAGGGCATCAGGGAGATGGACTGTCCAGGCTGAGAACTGGGGCTGCATGGGAGGTGGCAATGGGGAGAGGAAGAGCGTTCCAGGTAAAAGGAGCTGTATGTTCCAAACCTGGAGATAGAGCAGTGCTGATGTCCAGGCCTGAGAGGGGCCCCTGGGGGCTAGAGTTCAGTACTTGGAATGGCCAGAGCCTAGGGCTGGGTTGGCACTGGCCAGAAACCCACGTGTGTTTGTGTGTGTGCGTATTTGCCTCCATCTCTACCCAGAGACTCTCAGGCTCTTCAGAGTGAGCCTTGTGGGTGCCACGCCTGTTACACAGCTCTAGTCATGGGGAGCACACTGCTTCCTTGGTGGCTTAGGAAAATGCTTGGTGGGAGTTGGCCTAGAGTTTCCAGAGTCTAAAGTTTGCAGAAACCCTGGGCCTGGCCCAAATCTCTCAGCTCAGCCGTTTCCCTAGCTCCAGATTCTCAGCTTTCCTTGAAATGTACCTAGGCAACTCGGGGGGCTTCCCTGTGTTTGTCTCAGACATACTTGTGAGACTCTGACCTCAGCTCAAACTATCTGGCTGTAAGCCATGGCTCCTGGTCTGTGGTAGAACCAACAGGCTGAGCTGGGCTCCCCTGTCCCCCAGAGACCAAGGAATAACCCCAAAGTGTAGGATTCTAAAAGCAGTTTTAGGATTCACAGACCCCGGCATTAAGTCCTGGATCAGCCTGTCCAGAAGCTGGCTGCCCAGCCTCTTCAGGACTCAGTGTCTAGGTGGGGAGCACGGGGGCATTCCTGTGTCTCTAAGGAGTTCAACTCTGCATGCTGAAAACCCACCCACGGGACAATTTAGGCAAAGACCAGCAGGCTGCTAAGTGAAGAAAGACCTCCAGGGAACTGGAGCTAGTGGACTGAGATTTGTCCCCCAGAGGGGCCCTCTTGGGGCTGTGATAATTAAAGAAGCAGAGGAGGAACAAAGGTGAGAAATTAGGACCTCATTCACGGTTCCTGGATGTCATCCTCAATATCATTCCACCCATTTTGCTATGGGTGAGACTGAGGCCGGTCCAAGGTCATACTCTGCAAGTGCATTGTTCGCCAACTAAGTGACCCAGGTTCTCGGGCCTCAGTTTTTCCCTCTGTGCAATGGGGAGGAGACTCCCACATCTGATCTAGCATGAGCCTGGTGGGGCCCCTCCACCCCACCTCTGTCTCCCCCAAAACTGGAAGGCAGTATGTGTCCAGCTGGGAGCCCATTAGCTGGAGCTGCTGCCGCCTCATGTGGCTGTCATTAGCGAGGCTGGCCAGTGTTAAGGAGCTGAGTCTCTGGAGGAAGCTCAGGAGGTGGGGATGAAGGAGAGAGAGAGAGATGGAAGGGATGGGAATGAGAGGAGAAGCCCTGGCCTGGCAAGCCTGGCATCCTCCCTGTACCTACCACACGGGGGCGTCGTGAGCTCATCAGGAGAGGCTCTGGGAGCCTGGCATGCTCAGACTCCAGGGGACAGTCACCGCAAAGGGCCAGGTACTCCTTTGCAGCCTGGCTCGGCCTGCCCAGAGACCCCAGAATACAGCACCACTAGTGAACCCTTGGGCCATCCTGTGACTGTTTCTCACCAGATCTGCAGATTCTGGGTTGGTTAGATCCCAGGGGTCTGACAAGGGGGCTGTTGGGGACAGGGTTGAGGTTCCAGACTACTCTGCTCCCCCCACAGAGATCCGCGAGGCCTTCAAGGTGTTTGACCGTGATGGCAATGGCTTCATCTCCAAGCAGGAGCTGGGTACGGCCATGCGCTCTCTGGGCTACATGCCCAATGAGGTGGAGCTGGAGGTTATCATCCAACGGCTGGACATGGATGGTGAGCACTGGCCCTTTCACCTGGGCCCCGGGGATGGGGGAGGGTCTGGGGCCTGAGTCACTGAGGCTTAGTCTACCCTGGGCCTCTTGTTTCCCCTACTCCAAGCCACCCCAAAGTCTGTTGCAGGTTGTAGCCAGACCTGGCCCCATTTCTCACCCTGGAGAATCGAGACCAGATAGCCCTAGCCACATGCAGGGCTCAAAGACTGCTCTTCTCATCTCACTCTGTAGACTGAGAAATGTGGAAAATGGAGAGTTTATAATAAATATATCCCCAGCTTTCACCATCCCAAACAAAATCATTGAGTTGTTTTTACCACTTGACATTTTATTAAGGAAAAATTCATGAGAAAGACCAATATTGCCAAGTCCTCTCTGCTTCATCCCACCAGAGACCTCAAGAGAGCAGGTCACCCCCTCCTGAGCCTCATTTCCTGCCTGTATGGTGGAGGCGATGTCTGGCCCTGTACCCGCCCTGGTCAGCAACAGGGTGCTGGGGAGCCCTGGATGGTTTTGTGTAAACTGAGTGAACTCTGGGGCCACCTGCTGCTCTCCATCTCCACCCTCCCCCGTGGGGCCTCATCACACTTGGTGGTCTCCACATTAGCCCAGAGCGTGGCATGTTAGGTGCCCCTGAAGTTGAATCAAGACTTAAAAAGGGCACTTGCCTGATATGCCAGGACTCCATCCCAAGTCCCAAAGGAGGGCAGGAACTGCCCTGCCGGCCCCAGGTAGGTTTCAGCCTGACAATCTGATTGGACCTGTGCCCACTCTAGGTGATGGCCAGGTAGATTTTGAGGAGTTTGTGACCCTCCTGGGACCCAAGCTTTCTACCTCAGGGATCCCAGAGAAGTTCCATGGCACTGACTTTGACACTGTCTTCTGGAAGGTATGTCCTGGTTGGTTGGGACTCAGGGCTTTGGAGAGACTTAGGGGTTTGTAAAGGGGAGATGACCACTCCAGGCTTCTGTCCACTGCATGTCTTCTCTACTGGGGGGGCCATGGGCTCACTGGGAGAGGCAGGTGTCGGTCAAGGATGCCATAGGAATGAAGCAAGAGTTTCCAGTCCTTCAGAATCTGGAGGACCGTCCCTGGGCTTTTGTGACTGCAGGGTGTTGGGTGGGGTGGTGGCCAGAGCAGTGTTCCTCCCCCTGCCCCAAGTGCGACATGCAGAAGCTGACGGTGGATGAGCTGAAGCGGCTGCTCTACGACACCTTCTGTGAGCACCTGTCCATGAAGGACATCGAGAACATCATCATGACAGAGGAGGAGAGTCACCTGGGCACAGCCGAGGAGTGCCCTGTGGATGTGGAAAGTGAGTGACAGGCCCCTGGGACAGCTCAGCCACTTGAGCAGAAGGACATACCAGGGGTTTGCAGAGTGGGGCTGGCGGGGGTGGGGGGTGGTTTCCTGTGTGTCCCAAGCTTTGTGTCCCTGTGTTCCCATGGGTTGAGACTGCGTGCCAAAGTGTAGGCAGCTTCTGATTCTACCGCTTTGTGTCTCCTTCTCTCTGCTCCCTGGTGCTCCCCGTGGGTGGCCGCAGCCTGCTCCAACCAGCAGATCCGCCAGACATGTGTCCGCAAGAGTCTGATCTGCGCCTTCGCCATTGCCTTCATCATCAGCGTCATGCTCATTGCAGCCAACCAGGTGCTGCGCAGCGGCATGAAATAAGTGCCACCTGGGCACCTGGTCTGGCACGTGCAGTGCTGGGCCCACTCCACACCCACCACCACCTGCAGCCCTTCTCCCTCAGCTGGCTCTGGACCAATATCCTGTGTATTTCGGGGCCTGGACGTCTGGTGACCCCTACCCCTCTCACCCCATGGCCCTTGCATGGAGCTGTGGCTAGGCTGCGGAGAACCTGGTGGTGGCCCCGAGGACGGCCCCCAGCCCCTACACCATGCCCGTACCCTTTCCTAGCCTGTATGTAGCGCTAACTCTTCCTGCTGCCAGGGGCTCCTGGGAAATGAGGGCCTTGTACAGGATCCCCAGGACCTAGCCACTGCTGTGGTCCCTGTGCCCAGAGAGGGCACCTGCCTACCCCAGCTGTAATCCCTGAGGTTTTCCAGAGCTATGGGCAGGGTGGAGGAGGTGGGGGCAGAAAGCTCCTCTAGAGAAGGAAACAAGGCTGGGTCTCTTGAGTCCTTTCCTCTGACCCAAACTAGCCCTCCTCCCCCGTGTACCTGCTAGGGCCTGAGCCTGCCCATTTCACAGGTGAGGAGCCTGAGGCTCAGAGGGACAGATTTGGCCTCAGGTTTTCCTCAGGGATTTTCAGGAAGCGCACAAGCTCATGGTAGGATGGGGCATCTGAGATGGCCCTGAGGCCCCTGAATTTCTGCTCCCAACCCATCCTAGCAAAGGCCAGTGACCAAGGGTATCCTGGTCCCCAGCACAGAAGTCAGAGCTGTAGTCCAGCTTAGGAAGGGAACAGAGCCGGGGCCAGGAGGCCTCAACTGGCCTGAGCAGCCTGTGTGATCTACCCATTGGCCTGGGTACTCCTCCTGGCAGACCTTGGGAGGGCCCCGGGCCAGCCCTTGGGTGGAGGAGCTGGCATAGTTCAGCTCTGTCAGTGCCAGGAGGTGTGACCAAGCTATTCTCCCAAACCCAGGGCCCGCTTTCTGCCCCCTCCTCCCTCCATTCTTCTGCACCCTCAAGGCCAGAGACCCAGCTCCTGTCCCTGCCCCAAATGTGCCATCCCAAACCTGTGGCACTAGCTCAGCATGGGAAGATGCAGGGGCTGCAAATTCTGCTAGGGCTGGGATGGCAGATGGAGTCCTTGTGCTCCTCTCCCCAGCCTTGGGGCCACTTATCACCTGGGCAACGAGGGAGCCACACTGGCACACCCTTTGCCTGGCTGAACTGAGCCTCTGCTGGTCTCTGTTGAAGAAGGGCTGAGAGGACAGATCACCCTGGAGATCTTGTCTCATCCCAGCCCTGCCTGTCCCCTGGAAAGGGTTGAAAGGAGGAGCTGAGAACACCGGTTTAGGGAAGCACAGCCAAACCAAGGGAGGCTTTCTTTATATACACCTGCAAGTTTTCTCTGTCTTCTCAAGACATCCCAGGAGGGCGGGTGAAGTAGAGGGTGAAGCTGCCCAGCACAGACTGGGACCAGGGCTGCAGCTGGTATGGGGGACTTTTGAGTCTCGGGGAGACCAGGCCTACAGTCTCAGAGGCTCTGGGGACATAACAGGCAGAGGGCTCGGCCTCCCCAGTAGGAGCAATTGTCTTTATTGTGACAGATAAGTGCTGACCAGGTAGGAGATGAGCAGGGGCAAGGGGCTCAACCCCACTGAACTCTTGGCTGCAGGGGCCACCCCCCGGGTGGGGGTGCCCTCAGGGATGGAGGCAGCTCCTGGACCGGCGGCCATCCTATGGGGTACTGGAAGACAGTGGCTCTGATGGGTTCAGCCCTGGAGAGAAGGAGAAAGAGAATTAGAGCAAGTGCAACTGAGGCCTGGGTTGGAGCACAGCCCAGATCCAGCTCTCCCTCCCACCACCCTGGCTATGGGGAGGGTCAGCTGCCTGCATGGCCCTTCTGGAAACAGAGACTTGAAAACACACAGACCCTTAGAAGCAGCAACCTCCTCTCCAGGAACTGAGCCCAAGGAAACAGTGAGGTTCTAGGCAGATACAGAGCTACAAGAATGGCTTTGAGAAAAACAAAAATAACCTTAGTGTCCACCTGTGGGGGACTGATTAAATACATATGCACGTCCAGTGGAGAATGCTATGCAGCCTGTGTAAAAATTAAGGCAGACATATATGCACTGATGAGGAGAGACATACTATGTGAGTAGGGAAAAAAGCAGCTTATAAAATAATGTATATAGCATGATACTATTTTTGTTTAAAGATATATAACATATATAAATGCATAAAAAAAACCCTGGAAGACACAGCAAAATGTTAACTGGTTCTATCTGAGTGGTGCAATTATGGGTGGTTTTTTTTACTTCTTTATACTTTCCAAAAGTTTTGCAAGCACGCAAGCCTTTGAAATCCGAAAAAAATATTGTCTAAAATGTTTTAAAAAGCCTCATTTCTCATGCTACTCACTGTCCTTAACATTCACCTCTCCCAAGCCACCACCCCAGGGCCCATGGGAAGTGCCATCGATGGAAAGGCATCTTCTGTGCCCAACCTGGGGTATCCTAACCTACAGGAGCTGACTGAGGCCGATGGAGGCAGCCTCCCCCCACTCTTTCAACTATGCCACATTCAGACCTGTCCACACCGGACCTCCCTCAGGCTACAAAGCACTTTGAATTCACCTGGGAGCTCATGTGTTGTCTCCTCGGGCTTGCAGTGCTCAGAGGGTAAAGACTGGGGTAGGAATGGCATTTTTTAACCCCAGTGCCCAGAGCCAGGCCTGACATGCAGAGGTGACACAGTAACTGTGTGCTGAATGACACAGTTATTCAGCTATACCGAGAGCTTTTACTGACTAGGCACTAGTGTGGACCAGAGACCAGGGCCTAGAAAGACCTCAAGAATCTCACATGAACCCTTTTTTTCAGATGAGACAACTGAGGTGCAAGGAGTCCTCACTTGTCCAGGTGACACAGGGGATGGAGGATGAAGGGCTAGAATGCAATTCAGACATTTCTCCCTGCCCCTTCAGTTGCCTTTGTTCTAGCCACACCCCACCCCACCCCATGCCCTAGCCTTCATGAAAGGTGAGCCCTGGAAGCTTCTAACAGGCTTGGGGGCCCAGTGGCCATCCCTCTGCAGAAAGAGAAGGGCCTGGGTTTTCTGTGAGAGGTCTGGACAGGTCTCAGGCCTCCGAGGTGGAGGCAGGGGTGGGGGGCTGTGCTCAGCAGCCCTGAGAGTTTGCCTCTCCCCACCCACTCAACTTACCCTTCTCTGGGCCTGACTGATAGTACAGGGTCAAGGACTTCTGGGAGCCCTAACTGCAGCCTCTAGGATTCCCATTGTGAGAGGAACAGGGACATCTCCTACTCAATGGGCTGCTGCCTGCTGGAAAGCACAGAAAGCAGCTCTTGACATGATTTATGGTGCTGGGGAAATTTCATAAACAGAAGGTTGAGGGTGGAGGAGGCCACAACTGCGGGAGCTGGGGCTCTCTATGGAGTCACAGTGACAGTAGAGCTCCCCAAGGGGGTGTGATCCTGGGAAGCCCCAGCCTCTAAGCCTCAGGCCCTTCCTCTAGCAAATGGGGCACATTTCCAGGCAGCTGGGACCCAGCTACTGGGTTCAAGGCTCAGTCCAGTGTCCCTGCCTACCCTGAGGCACCCAACAGAGAAAGGGCAACCCCTGAGTCTGCTCACAGATACTGGAGCCTTGCTAGGGCCCAAGATGTGCCAGGCCCTGGGCCTTACAGCCCATACCTGCAGCCCTGGCACATAGTAGACAGAGACACAGGTACATGGGGTAGGACTCTACTTGAGGCTTCCAGCATGGTCTGTTTGCCCTGTATGTAAGGACAGAAGCAGCTCCCTGGCAAATCCCCAGCTGTGGTCCTTACCAAAAGGAAACAGTCTTATGGAGGTAGATGGGCCAGAACAGAAGCTGTGGCCCAGAGAGGGGTATGTAGGGGAGATTAAGAGGGATAAAGTCACAATCAGAAGAGCCAACAATGGGAAGCAGGGCTGAGCATTGAACTGGCTGGGGATTAGTCTGTGTGTCTAAGGCCAGCTGCTCCCTCCCTCTGCCACTGTCTGTTCTTGGCAGATCCCTCAGGGTCAGTCTGTTGAGGGAACGAGCAAAAATGCCACCAGGCTGCACCTTCAAGGAGCCTCCGTGTCCCCATGTTGACAAGGAAAGTTGGCTCAGCTCACTGTGTGTTGTGGGGTTCTGCTCAGTCTGCAGGTCTATGTGGTCCCAGGTGGGTCAGGCAGCCATCTGTTCCCCAGGAAGGAAACAGACACCCAAAGAGGAAAAGGGGGCTACCTAAAGTCCTCAGACTGGTCCCCACACATTAATACCCAGGTAACAGGCATCTAGGCTGGCCACACTGCTCCCCTAAATACACACACATGTAGTCTCCATGCCCTGGGGACACCCATACTTGCTCAAGATTGTGAAGGGGTGCTGGGGCTAGAAGGGGCCACGTCTTAGAGTACTAAAGCTCACAGCTGGTGGGGTTGGCAGAGGCAGTTTCAAGCAGAGGAAACAGCATGCATGGGGTTCCCAGAAATCACAAATGACTGTCCATCTAAGAGGCTGCTAACACTGTGACTGACAGGCTAGGTATGACAGGTGATCAGGTGACTCCATGAGTCTGGTAGCCAGCAGGGAGATTTCCTTAGGCCCTGTGAACTAGGCTGTGGAGTCCAGGCCCTCCCAAAGTGGAGGTGGACTTGGGAGGGGTTAAGCAGGGGAGGCCCAGGGCCAGAGTGTGTTTTGGAAGCTGGCTGGGGCTGTAATATGGAGAATGAACTGGAAGAGCTCAGGGGAGGGGAGAGACCTAGGAGAGGGCTGTTATGGCCAGCTAGGAGAGCCACAATAGGCAATCCAGAGGCTGGAATCTAATTCCCTACAACCCCACAGGAGGGGTTCATGGATGCAGAAGCACAGCCCCGATGAGCAGAGGTGTCATGTTTCCCAAAACTACCCTGCAGGGAGAGGACTATGGGAGACCAAGGTAGCAATGGCAACAGCAAGAATAAAAGGTCACCTCCTTTCCGACAACTCTTTTTTCTTAAGGCTGTACAGGTCTGTTCTGCCCAAAGAATGATTCATATTGGCTTTAAGCCTTCAGGAGGCAGGTGAATAGGTGGGGAAGGGGCAGAGAATGTTTGTGGAGAAAGCAGATCTCTTGGAAGTGCCCAGGTTGATTGGCCAGAGGGAAAGTGACCTGGCAGAGCAGTTTAGACCCTGCTCCCCAGAGCCCAAGGTAGGTCCCAGTTTCAGGCACCACTCCAAAAACTGCTACTGCCATATTAGCAGCTCCAATCCAGCTAGACTGGAGACCACAGGGTCTTCCTGGATCCTCCTCACAGCCCTAAGAGGTATTCAGGGTATAACTCACTTTCAGGAGACACCACGGGGCAAAAGCAGGGCCGTAAGTGGCCAGGACAACATGAGGTTGGGAGGAACTCATTCATATGGGACCAGTTCCAAGGAGTGGTGCAGAGCAGAGACTGAACTGAAGTGATCTCAGGAAAATGGGGATCCCCAGAACTCCCTAGTCAGACCAACCCTCCACCACATGAGCAGAAGTAACTTGGCATTCAGGATCTGGATCCCTGGAAGATGGCTGGTAACAACAGGAGGCACCCAGATGACCAAAGTCACAATCCCTTCAGACAGGTCCAAAAGGCAGGGATGGCATACTCCAACATTTGAGTTATGTCCAACTATATAGTTTTAAGGTAGCGGTACACTGGGCACATATTTAGAATAAAGGTAAAATACAAAGTTAACTTTAAAAGACCTTAATCATCTCTTTCCACTGGACCAAGAAATTTGCCCTTCACCTTCTGGCACAGCCCCGAGGGAAGTCCATGGACTTCTCTGACCAGACCCTCTTGGCTCAGGTCAGGCCGTCATCCCATGAGACCATACCACAGAGCAACTAGGGCCTGAAGGGCTACTGCAAGATGGGGAATCAAGGTGGCCCAGGGTAGGGCAACTTGCACACAGTCATGTGCAGCTCACAAGCACCCACCTTGGTCCCCTTTCGTACCCTCTCTTCCTCCCATTTCCTCCCCCTCTCCACTACTGGCAGAGGGGAGCTCAGGAGCCCTGGACTTTGGCTGTGATGCTAGGTGGCTGCGGAAGCCCCTGCCTGTCCCTGTGCTTCTCTGTGTTAATGTATAGTGTGGGCTGTGTCTGAGAGGGGAGGGTCTGAGATGGCATGCAGCCCACATTTGAGGGCCCGTTCCTGTCCATTTTTGAGAATTCTGAATGCTCAGGCCACTTCCCCTTAGGGAGGCGTGGGACAATGATGTTGTCATGCCCCTGTACAGTCCCTGCTCTGCCTATTCCTAGCTATGTGCCCTTGATCAAGTTGAACGTCTCCATGAGCCTCAGTTTCCCATCTGTGGGGCCCTGGGACAGGCAGTGGATGATGGACCACTGGGAGCTTGGCCACCACAGCTCAGGTCCATCCCTCTAGCAATGGACTTAGTGCTGTAGAGTCAACCTGGCCAACACTTCCCCTCCCACCAGCACACACTGCCAGAGGGGGATGAGACATAAAAGGTGGGGACCAAGGACAGGTACCTTTAAATGTACACTCCCTCTGGCCAGTGCCTGGGGACCCAAGAGCTCCACTGTAGCCCTACTCATAGGGATCTCTGGAGGAGAGTAGGGGAAGAGTCTAACTATAGCCCCTGAATTTAGGAAGTTCATGGAGATTCCTCAACTTTAGCAAAGGACCAAAGGACAGGCTGGCTGGGGTCTTGCCCCCAGCAGCACAGAAACACCTGGGAGTCTATACCTGCTGCTCGGGGTTGAGCTCAGTCGCTTGGCTCTCTTCTCCAGCCAGTCCTCCAGGTGGCCCTCAGGGAGCTCGGGTGTGTCCAGAGGCCACTCCCTGGCTCGCCTCTCCTCTGTGGGGAATAGGGAGACAAAAGGAAGGTGAGGGGCACAATCCTGCCTGCCTGAACCCCACCTCCCGCAAAGTAACAGCAACTGGCCAGCTCCGGGGAAGTCCTGGGATGCTGCAGCAATCTTCCAGAGAAGTGCAGGCTGGTAGGCCAGGAGCACTGCTGCTGGCTTGTCCCTTTACTGCCCCTACTGCCTGAGCCCATCTGCATCCCATGACCCAGTGCTACAGGTCTGGCTCTGCTCCCCATTGAAGGGAGATAGCAATGGCTGCCTCCCAAGCTTTGGGGAGCTGGAAACAGGATAATGAGTGTAAAGAGCCTAGCCCTCAGGAGGGGTTCAAATCTCAGGTGCAAGGGGTCAAAATCGGCAGTAGAACAAGGTTGAGTCTTGGTTCTGCCACTGCCAGGTCTCCAGACAAGGCATGAGCCTCAGTTTTCTGGTTTTTCTTTTCATATAATGTTGTACAAAAAAACTCTGCCATTGAACTAAAGCCAGGCAACAAATAGTCTGAGTTCATACAAGCTGGGTGTGAGAGGGTGATGGGGTCAGTCTCCAAGTGGTCTGGGATGGGCTATGGGCCAGAGGAAAACAAACTCATGGCATGACAACACTTGGGGGCTGGCCCTGGGCTCACTGCACAGGGCATCATTGCCTGGGGCATCATCACGTTTGACAGGTCAAGACACTGTCTCCAAGAGGTCAAGCCATGTGCCAAGGTTACAGAGGATGTGGAAGAGCCAAGACCATCCACAATGCCAGCCTCCTTGGGCCTCACCCTATCTCCATCTCCACTAGATATGATCTCAGCCTGAGCTCCCCACCACAAGCTAACCATTCCCTGAGAGCCTGTGGCACACGGGGAGCTAGAGACATCAGCACTGCCAGGACTTGCTGGCTGGGCCATGAGGCCTCACTTCCACCCAGAGAGAGCTCCTGGAAACCCGGTGTCAGTGCCAGAGCTGTAGTACACCACCACTGGCTCCCCAGGGGAGGGCATAGAGCCCTAGGGTCCAACTGGGCAGAGGGAAGTGAAGCCTAACAAGGGATGAGGACAAAGGTCAAAGTGCCCCAGGCATTCAAGAGCTCCCTGAGGCAGCTGGACAGAGAAGAATGGATAGCAGCCTCCTGGGAGACCCAGAGTCAGTCTCTAACTCACTGTGGGGCTCTCTCAAGGTCCTAAGGTCTGAGGTCTGAGTACTGGCCTTGGTTTCTTCATCTGTTCAATGAAGGGGCCAAAGGAGATCAGTTAAGATGTCTAAGAGGGCCAGGCACAGTGGCACACACCTGTAATCCCAGCAGCTTGGGAGGCTGAGGCAGGAGGATTGCAAGTTCAAAGCCAGCCTTAACAACAATAAGGCACTAAGCAACTCAGTGAGACCCTGTCTCTAAATAAAATATAAAATAGGGCCGGGGATGTGGCTCAGCGATTGACTGCCCCTGAGTTCAATCCCTGGCACCCCTCACCCCGCCAAAAAATACCTCTTATTCCCCCTCCCCAAAAAAAGCCCTCTAAGAGGGAACCTCCTTGTTCTGTAATTGGAAAGCCAGCATCGAGCTGCCCAATGGCTCACTGGCCTGTTTCTACAGAAGCTGAAATTGCCCTGCCCCTCCCAGAAGTCACTAGGCTATGAGGATCCTGAGGGAGGAAAAAGTGCTTTCTTCATTCCCCTTTCCCAAGTGTGCTGAAGGGGATCTGCCAAGTGTTGAATAGGGATTCCTATGGTGCCTGATGGAGGGGGAGAGGGAGGGACCCCCCACACCTGCTGGGTTAGCGTGTGGGCAGTGGGGCACTTTCAGAGCTCCCAGGCGGGAGCCATATATTTTTCACTTTCAGGAGACACAGCTGTGTTTCTGACGCCCACCTCACATTGTGGAATTGGGGACTCCCTATCACCCTGAGCAGACCTTGGCCTGCCCCACATGATGGCTTCTACTGAGGGACAGGAGGGGAGGTGCAGAGCAGTTTCCCCAGTCACAGATCCCACATCCCTTGCCCGCACTCCATTCCCGCCCTGCATAGGGCCCCTGCCGAGACACACCCTCCACCTGGATGCTCAGCTCTTGCAGGTCTCGCTCTGACATGTGGGAAAATCTGCAGTTGGAGCCAAAGTCACACTGGCCTGCAACAAGAAGACAGAGTTACTTGCCATTCAGGAAGGGCGCCTATTACAGGCTGAAGGCTCTCTGATGACGGTTTCTGATCTTTTAGAAACAAGGTTTTAGGGTCTCTGGTCCCACTCTCACTCAGCAGTCCTGGTGGACCAAACCTGATCAAAGTGAGTCAGGACTGGGCTGCACAGATCTCTGCAGGCTGTCTCTCATCACCAACCCCTCCTACCCACCTCCATGAATTACATGTGGGTTCCTGAAAGAACACGCTTCCTCCTCCACGCCAGGCTGTTGCACATGCTGTGCCCCTACCTGGAGCCCCACCTGCCCACCTGGCTTGCATGAGCAGCTGGACTGCTCCTCCAAAAGATCTCAGCAGGGGCCGGAATTGTGGCTCAGTGGTAGAGTGCTTGCCCAGCATGTGTGAAGCACTGAGTTTGATCCCCGGAGACCACATTAAAATAAAATAAAATAAAATAAAAGTATTGTGTCCATCTACAACAACAACAAAAAAATCTATTAAAAAAAGACCTCAGGGGCTGGGGATGTGGCTCGAGCGGTAGGTAGCGCGCTTGCCTGGCATGCGTGCAGCCCGGGTTCGATCCTCAGTACCACATACAAACAAAGATGCTGTGTCTGCAGAAAAGTAAAAAATAAAATAAAATAAAAATCCTCTCTCTCTCTCTCTCTTTTTTTTTAAATTAAAAAAAAAAAAAAAAAAAGACCTCAGCAGCACCTTTGCTATGGAGGAACCAAAGTTTGGGTGGTTTTTCCAGGCTCAAACAAGGAAACCAAAGTGTCTGGAAATAACAGGAGCATGGTGGTATCCTACACCAGTGTAACCTCCCAGTGTCAAATATACCTCAAAGCCAAGTCAATGGGAAACTCCTGATCTGCAGGCCTCGTGACTATTTTGGGGGCAACACCATTTCCTGAGAAGAACACGGCCTTTCATCCAGCTTCCCTAACTCACCCATAGTACCTTTCCCCAGGGCTAAGCTCCCTTACAAACCACTGTGGTTTTCCTCTTTGCCTTGGCTTCCAGGAAGCTCAGGGCCAAACTTTCTAGTACACAGACCTCAAGAACAAACATGGAGACTAATTATTCTCCTGGCTTGTCTTATTTTTCCTACCCTTACTTTTATCTGTTTTTGCTGCCTTTGCTTACTAAGGTCTGTATCTCTTTGAAGTATAGTTATCTTTGTGAGATGAGTATTGAGCAGTAAAATCAATACTTCTGAAAAGCTGAGGACCAGATCAGGGAAAGACCCAAATTCCAACCCATGGGGAGGCCCTGACTGACTGGTCAGCTGAAGCCAGGCTGCAAAGTGGACTCAGGATGGTGTCCAGAGTTGGAGAAGACACTCTACAGAGATCCACACAAGCCAGACAAGGTATTCTTGGTCCCGGAGGGGACCCAAACCAGCAGAGCACTTTACCTGTCAGCAGGAACTTCCTGCAGGGCCGCTTGTTCTGCTCATCCAGCAAGATGGCAGCTGCATCTATAAGAGAAGAAAGGGACTGGGTTCAGATGGCTCCGCCAAGGAGGGAGGTAGAGTCTCAGGGAACTGAGGGAAGAAAAGAGCTCCCCACACATGGAGAAGCATTGCTTTGGTTGACCATAGGGGGGGATGCTTGGCAGTGGGATCCAAGGTGACCTCCATCCCTCACCTTACCCAGGGCCAGCCAAAGTCAAGAAATAGGTTTCAGGTCAAAGGTATTTGACTTTGACTGTACGATGGACTCACATAGAAAGTTTTCTTTTTCCCCAACCAAATAGAGGGGAAGGGGAAAAAAAGCTCTTTTATTTCCACATAAAATCATTTTTGAAGGGGCTGGGGTTGTGGCTCAGTGGTAGAGCACTTGCATCACATGTGTGAGGCACTGGGTTCGATCCTCAGCACCACATAAAAACAAATAAATAAAATAAAGATATTGTGTTCATCTACAACTAAAAAAATTTTTTTTAAAAATCACTTTTCAAGTTTCAGAACATCTTAGGGCTGGGAATGTAGATCAGCAGCAAAATGTTTGCTTAGCATATGTGGGGCCATGAGTTTGATTCCCAGCACCACAAAAAACAGCAATAACTGGCTTTCTCAGAACAACTTCTAGAATTTTAGGGAACTTTAATTAAAACATACGTTAACCAAGTGAGAACTGACATGTGGACATTATTTTGTCTCCCCATTCAAGAGTGTCATACGTCTTATGTATTATCTCCATCTTCTCTTTATTCCCTAATAAAATTTAGAAGTTTTAAAATAATTTTATTGCTCTTTTCTGTAAAAACTTGACCTGGCAGATGAATTCATCATTTAGGGACTGTCAGTTAACAGGACATAGTTTTATGGCCTCCTGGTTGCAAACAGCCTGACGAACTATTATTTGGCTTAGCAGCCATGTTCTCAGCTGCTATACTGAATGCTCTCCAAAGGTCTTGTTCCTCAGCTTGGTATTGAAAGGTGGTAAGAGGGTGCTCAGAAATGGCAGCAGTTTTTATTTTCTCCTCATGAATCCACTTTACAGTACTAATGTCCCCATTCTGCAGAGGGGTAATATTGAGGTTCAGACAGGAAAATGACCTTCCCAAGGATACATGATCAGAAAGTGGCAGCACCAGGTTTGAACCCTGGTATGTGGAATTCTAGAGCCTTTGTTCTTTCCATGTGGCTGCTGATTTCCTGATGCCTGGATAAATGGCCCAGTAATGGGGATGCCTCTCTTCAGGGCAGCTGGTGGCTGGGAAGGGAGAGGATCTGCTAGGGGCTGGGTGTTGGTTACGGCAGGATTCACTCCAGGGGGCCTGGCAGAGCCATGAGTGAAGCCAGCAATGTGGAGGAGGGTCCATCCATTAGCACCAGGCTTGTCAGGCTCAGTTCAACCACTAGAGCTAGAGACACCATGGCCTGTCCTGCCTGTCGTTCCTGGGGAAGCTGAGCTGGTGGGATTATGTGGATGTTGCCTAGGACCTCCCTGAGGCTAGTACCACTGAGGGAGGCAGGAGGGCTGAGCCTAAGTCCCAGACAAGAGGCACTGGCTAGGTGGCTCAGCGTAGAAGAGTTCTATTCTGTGGTGCTGCTGGCCAGTGGTTCTCAACTCTGACATGCTTTAGGATCACCACGCAACTATTAAAGTACATGGACACCTGCACCTGCCCTTCTTAGGTTCTGCTTTAATTCATCTGCATAAGGGAGATCACAATTGTTAAAAGCTCCTGGGGTCAGGCAGGGTGGTGCACACCTATACTTCTAGTGGCTCAGGAGGCGGAGGCAGAAGGATCACAAGTTCAAAGCCAGCTTCAGCAACTTAGTGAAGCCCGAAGCAACTCAGTGAAACCCTGTCTCTAAATAAATTACAAAATAGGGCTGGGGATGTGGCTCAGTGGCCAAGTGACCCTGGATTGAATCCCCAGTACCCTCCCCTGAAAAAAAAGCTCTTGGGTACCTCTAAAGTACACCTAGGATTAAGAAAACCCAGCCTACCCTCTGCACAAAGAGGCCCCTGCTCCTCCACATGGTGTTCAAGGCTCCTTGTGATCTGACCTGTTGGTCCTTCTCGCTTCATCTTCCAAAATTAACAGCTGCCCCTGGTGCCCCATGTTTATTTACCTAGTCATTTAGGCATTCATCTATCAAATGTTCACAAAGCACATCCCATGTGCAGGCACTATGCCAGGATGAGGATTTAAGTGGAGATCAAGTCAGAGCGGGTCCTTCCTCCAGTCTAACAGCCACAGTAATCCATGTGGATATAAATGGGGTAAACACTGAACACGAACAAATGACCTAACCTGGCCTAGGGCATGGGAAGGGCATCCCTGAGCATTTACTGCCCGAGTTTAGTTCTGGGACAAAGGAACTATCTTGGGGTAGGGAGGACAGAAGGAAGGACATGCCCACAGAAAGAACAGTACATGCAGTGATCAATGTGGTCAGAGCCAGGAGGGAGAGGCCAGCAGAACATGGAAACCCAGGCAGGACACACTGTTGTAAGTGAGTGGGAGGTCACTTAGAAGGGCCTGTTTTATCCATCTTTGAATCTTCAGAGCCTGTCTGGGGATTGAGGACAGGCAAGTACTCATTGAGCACTGGCTGAATAAATGTGTCCATCAGATAAAGGGCCTAAGGCCACTCCTTCTAAGGACACAGAAGCATCATTCCTACTTAGCATAAACCCTAATGTGCAGAACAGTCATCATGGGATTACTGAGCCTGTGTCACATCTCTGGGAGGTGGGTACTGTTGTTATGGCTGTTTTACATGTGACAAAATTAGGGCTACACCGTTAGTGATTCACGACTTGGGACTGAACCCAGGCAGCCTAGCTCCAGGGCCTGTGTTTGTCCTGACAGTGACCCATGGATCATCAGCCACTCTGAGGCCCTTGGAATTTGTCAAAGGCCATGAAGCTGGGAGCTGAGAACCAGTTGCTCAGGGTAAGTGCAGGCCTAGGGGAACCTTTTGAACAAGAAGAGAGCTCATGTGCCAGCTTGGCCACCAGAACCTGGGGACCATGAGTAAGGCAATCCACTGGTCTAAGTTTTTAAAAATTTTGTTTTAGTTGTCAATGTACCTTTATTTATTTATATGCAGTGCTGAGAATCAAACTCAGTGCCTCACACATGTTAAGCAGGTGCTCCACCACTGAGCCAAAACCCCAGCCCCACTGGTCTGGATTTTAAATTCATCATCTGTAAGTGGGGAAACTCAGGCCGCCAGCCCCGGTAGCAGAGCTGATTTGTTTTGTTTTCTGGTCCTGGGGATCGAACCCAGAAGAGCTTTACCACTGAGCCACAGCCCATTTTATTTTTTGTTTTGAGACAGGGTCTCACTAAGTTGCTGAGGCTGGCTTTGAACTCATAATCCTCCTGCCTCAGCCTCCTGAGCTGCTATGATTACAAGCATGTGCTACCATGCCCAGTTCCCTGCACAGCTGTTCTAAGGACTAGAAGTGGCTGGGCATGTGAGAGGTTGATGGGAATGCAAGAGCCCTAAGAAAGGGACTACAGCACCTGCCTTTTCATTTTTTCTGTAAGGAACACAAGGACTTCTACCCATTATTTCTGGACTCCAGGGCCCAGCTGTTATTGGCTGAGCATCTGGGATAAGGAGCAAATGCCAAGGTGATCTTGGCCTAGCTAAGGCCAAAGCACAGCCCCTCACTGGGTTTGGAAGACAGGGAACCTGATGTCAGGATCGGAGATTTCTCAAATAGCTAGGAGCCCCCAATGCCCTTAAATTCCCCATCTGTCTCCATTCCCAAACCCTCCCAATCACAGCTGTGCTGGGCCTGCTGAGCAGCCTTGTTGGCCACCTTCCTCCCCAAACCTAGAAGCCTCAGTTTCTTTGCCTGAAATAGGGAGCATCTGGGAGATGCTTTTTTTTTTTTTTTTATGGTGCTGGGGATTGAACCCAGGGCCTTGTGCATGTAAGGCAAGCACTCTGCCAACTGAGCTATATCACCAGCCCTAGGAGAGCTTTAAAAACACCAAGCCTAAGCCAGGTGTGGTGGCGCACACCTATAATCCCAAGGCTCAGGAGGCTGAGGCAGGAGGATCGAAAGTTCAAAGCCAGTCTCAGCAACTTAGTGAGGTCTTAAGAAACTCAACCAGACCCTGTCTCCAAATAAAATCTAAGTGCCGGGTGTGGTGGCACACACCTGTAATCCCAGTGGCTCAGGAGGCTGAGGCAGGAGGACCACGAGTTCAAAGCCAGCCTCAGCAAAAGTGAGGCGCTAAGCAAATCAGTGAGACCCTGTTTCTAAATAAAGTACAAAATAGGGCTGGGGATGTTGCTCAGTGGTTAAACGCCCCTGAATTCAATCCCCAGTACCAAGAAATAAAAAATACTCTGCCTAAGCCAGGTGTGGTAGCACATGCAGTAATCTCAGCAACTTGGGAGGCTGAGGCAGAAGTTCAAGGCCAGCCCGGGCAACTTGGTAAGACCCTGTCTCAAAATAAAAAAAATAAAAGGGGGACAGCTAGGTATGTAGCTCAGTGGGAAAGTACTTGCCTAACACATGCAAGGCCCTGGGTTTCATTCCCAGTACTGCAAAAAAGAAAACAAAAAAACAAAAACAAAAACCATGCCTAGTCCTTATTCACCCAAACCCAGTGGGGTAGGGAGATCACTGTTACCATGACCAACTAGCCTTATTTATTTAAAGGTCTCTAAGTGCCTAAGAGAGTCACTGAGAAGTAAATGACAAACCATAGCAAGCACAGCATGTAGCAGGTACTCAATAAAGGCTCACTCCCTTCTAGTGAATTTTGTGTCTCAGAACAGAGAACTCCTTCTGTCTCCCTTCCCCTTTCTCCTTGGCCACCTGAACTCAGTTTGTTCCTCCCAGGCTCTGGGCCCTGTCCTGGAAAACTGTTCCCTACCTGTCCAAGCACCTCTGCTGCATCACCAAGCTCCCTCTCCTTTCAGCTCAGCTCCTCCCTGGCCACACTCTGGCCCCTCCCTGACCTTCCTTGGTGTGCACATCTAGTGGCAGCTATGTAGCAGCATAACTCCCATCCACAGGCATCCTGGGGGCTAGGCCATGATGGATGCTTCTGACCTGAGCTCTTTCACTCCAGTCGCACCTGCTTTGCAAGAGTCCCCACCCCCACCGCAGCAGTCGGGTTATTCATTCCTCCCTCCAGCCAATCATTCAACAGACTCTTCCTGCACCACACTGTTTACCCCACACAGAGTTCTTGCTGGCAAATGTAGGCCTGGCCACGTCACATCTGTCGAAAGCTCTTCAGAAGCTGCCTTCTGCCCTCAGGACAGTGCAACCTCCTTGCTGTGGCCTCCACAGACCTGAAGGATCTAGTCCCTGCGCACACCCAGCTTTGGCCCCTACCATTCTCCGCATCACTGGCTGTACCCTCTCCTCCCAGGGCATCCGGTGCTTTGCTCATGGCTACCTGTTTCAGAGTCTTCTTTGCATATCCTTGGCCCCAAATGACATGGCTGGCCCTATTTCAGCTGCTGGCTCAAACATCACCTCCTTGGAGAAGCCTGTCTGTTATCTGTATCCCAAGGATGTTCCACTGTGGGTGAAGCACAGAGCCCTCAGTCAAGGTCATCAGCGAAGGGACCTTCCATTTTGGATTGCCTCTCTGTCTCTGGGGCTCTCTCCTTTTTTTTTGTACTGTTTCTATTTTTTTTTTCCTTAGCATGTACTCTATCACTGAACTACATACACCCCAGCCCCTTCCTCTCTCTCTCTTTCTCTTTTTTTGATATGGGGATTGAACCTATTTTTTATTTTATTTAGAGACAGGATCTCATTGAGTTGCTTAGTGCCTACTTTTTGCTAAAGCTGGCTTTGAATCCATGATCCTCCTGCCTTGGTCTCCTGAGCCGCTGGGATTACAGGCGTGTGCTACCGGGCCCAACACCTTCCTCTTTTGGATCCTCAAAGAGCCCAGATTGACCCACTGTGGTGCTAACCTAATGGTTAGAGGGATCAGCATGCGGGCTCCAGCAGCCTGGCCACAGAGCCCGCAGCACCCACCTCGGAACATGTCGTACCACACCTTCTTGGCCTTGAGGTGCTGCAGCCCGTTCAGGTGCTTCTTTCGGTTGTGGAGATTGTCCTGGAAGGAACGGTCACAGTAGTCGCAGAAGTATCGCTTCCCCATGGCCGCCTACACCAGGTGCTGAGGCTGCCCGGAAAGTCACAAAGCTCTTGGTCAGACCTTTGGAGAAAAGGCCAGAGGTCAGAGCTCTGGGGACAGGGCCCCTGACTGAGCACTCCCTGAGGGTCAGGCCTGAGCCAAGCTTTTCTTAAGGTGCCTTGTACCATGAGGAACTTCTAGAGCTAACAAGTCTAGTTCTAGAGGGATCTTTTAATTCTGATGCCCAGCCTCCAATCTCAGCCAATTAAAACAGAACTGGGGTATAGCAGCACACACCTGTAATTCCAGCTACTCAGAGGCTGAGGCAGGAGGATTGCTACTTCAAGGCCAGCCTTGGCAACTTTGTGAGACTCTGTCTCAAAAAAGGCTGGAGAGGGGCTGGGGATGTGGCTCAAGTGGTAGCGCGCTCGCTTGGCATGCGTGAGGCCCAGGTTCTATCCTCAGCACCACATACAACCAAAGATGTTGTGTCCGCCGAGAACTAAAAAATAAATATTAAAAAAATTCTCTCTCTCTCTCTTAAAAAAAAAAAAAAGAAGGCTGGAGATGCAGCTCAGTGGTACAGCACCAAGTTCAATCCCTAACCACAAAAACAATAACAACAACAAACTAGAACCTCAGAAGGTAAGCCCCAGACTTTAGTATTTTTTATTTATTTCATTTTATTTTTTGGTACTAGGGATTGAACTGAACCCAGGGGTGCTTAATCACTGAGCCACATCACCAGCCCTTTTTATTATTATTTTTTTAAATTTTGAGACAGGATCTCACTAAATTGCTCAGGGCTTTGCTAAATTGCCGAGGTTGGTCTCAAACTGCTATCCTCCTGCCTCAGCCCTTGAGTTGCTGGGATTATAGGGCATGCACCACCACGCCTGGCTTTAGTATTTTTTTTTTTTAAGCTCTCAGGTAATTCTAATATATAGCTAAGCTGGAGGACCCCCACCTTATACCCTCTGGCCAGCCTCCCTCATCCCTAGCACACCTCTGACTTCTGATCTCCTTCTTCTGGTTTTCTCCATGCTGGCCCCATGGGTCTTCGCCCTGCCCCTCACATAAGCCAGAAACATGGCTGCCTCCAGGCACATGGGTTTGTATCTGCTGTCCCCTTGGCCTGGATGCTCTCTCTGTGATGTCTGCCTGCCATACTTGCTTCCTCGGTCCTTTTTTTTTTTTTTGCTGGCTAGCTTTGAACTTGCGATCCTCCTGCCTCAGCCTCCTGAACTGCTGGATTTACTATGCCCAGCCAACAGAGGGGTCTTAAGACCTTACAATGTTCTCATTTCCCTCTGGGACTGAATGAGGACCCGCCACCTAAGAATTTAGTAATCTTCTTGGGAAGCTATTAGCCTCTGCTGCCTAAGCTCTCTGGCTTAAAGGACACCCAGGAACATGATTTTAGGGGACTTACAGTTGCATTCTTTTGATCAGCTATGTGACCTCAGACAAATCTCTCTTCCTCTCTTGAATCTCTGGTTGTCCCAAAGGAAAAATGAATATTAACTCATTTATTCCACAAATACTTGATTGCCTACTCTGTATCAAGTACTATTTTAGGTGCTGGGGCCCCAGCAATAAATTAAGCAAAAATATATCTGCCTTCATGGATTTATATTCTTGTCGGGAGAGAAAGACAATAAACGATAAGAAGTAATTTATTATTTCAAAGGCGATAAGTGCTATGAGGAAAAATCAAGCTGGGAATAGAGACAGCTAAGGGGAGAGTTCTGCAATTTTAAATAAAGTGATTACTGTAGATTGTCAAAAAGATAGCATTTGAGCAAAGATCAAAGGACTGAGGGAAGCCGGGTGCAGCAGCACACGCCTGTAATCCCAGTGGCTTGGTAGGCTGAGGCAGCAGAATGACAAGTTCAAAGCCAGTGGTAGCAACTTAGCAAGGCCCTAAGAAACTCACTGAGACTCTGTCTCTAAATAAAACACAAAAAGGGCTGGGAATGTAGCTCAGTGGTTAAGCACCCGAGTTCAATCTCTAGTACCAAACCAAACCAAACATAAAAACCCTGTCATTGTGACTACAGCTGCCATTCCTTTCCAGGAGAACTGCAGCCCATGGTGGGTGGCAATTCTATGGCTTTCATGCCCAGTGCTTGGGTCCTCCAGCTTGATGTCACAAGACCAGAGGGAGGATGTGTCTACTTGAGGCTGTCAAGTGGGACGTGCAAAGGCTGAGCCTAGTACAGTCCCTCAATCTGGGGTCTGGTCCCTCACTTAACAAAGCAGGCTTCTGAGGCCCAGAGGAGTATAGGAAATTATTTCCTTGAGGTCAGAAGGTGGCTGCCCAGGCTGGCAGCCAAAATCCCAGATTCCTAGGACCTGGCAAATAAGGATGAAGCTGGGACCTGAGCCACAGAGCAGACGGATGAGTGGGGAGGTAGAGGGGACAGATGGGGGAATGCTTCTTGGGAAGAAGAGACTAGGGATAGATGCAGAGACAAACAAGCATTCTGGGCAGTCCAGACAGCCAAGCAGGTTGATGGAAAAAGTTGCTCCTGCAGCAGACAGGGACAGCAGCCATTAAGTCAGGGGCTGTAATGGGATCAGGAACAGCCAGTCATTCCAAATGAAAACGTATAAAATCTCTCTTCTCCCATTACTGCTGAGAAACCACATCTCAGACATGCGGACTTGATATATTAAATTTGGCAGCTCTAATACATTCCGTCTTGCCAATAAACGTATAGGAATTGGATTGAAATTGTAAGAGATGAACGCTTAACGGCTGAGTGCTTAACCAAGCCATTCACGAAGCTTGAAGCTCCAAGGAGCAGCTGATTCTGGAGAGTAATGGGGAAGGGAGCGGAGGAGAGGAGTGTCCCTCTGGGAGACTGACTCAAACAGTGGCTCTGAAGCAGACTGGACCACACAAGGCACTGAGAAGCTGGTTGTGTAACCTTGGGCAAGTCACTGTCCTCTCTAGGACTCTATTTCACTGTGAAAATATGAGGCAGTGGATCTAAATGATCTGATTATTTCAGAAGTGTACAGAGAAGTTTATTAATGCGAATGGATTATTAAGGCTGGGGATGTAGCTCAGCTATAGAGCATTTGACTAGCATGTGCAAGGCCCTGGGATTGATCCCCAGCACCACTAAATAAATAAATAACAAAGACCACTAATTGACTAGCAAGTATTCAATAAGTGTTAAACTATTGTAAGAGTTAGTAGTTTCTTGAGCACCTACTATGCTCTAGCACCATGCTAAGAAATATATACATCATCTCATTTGATCCTCAGGATAACCTGTGGGAATAGGACCTATGATGCCTTTTCAGATGAGGGCATAGAGGCTCCAAGATGTGAAGTGACTTGGTCAAGATCACACCACTAGAAAGCATCTGAGCTGGGTTTATAACTAGGCAGCAAGGCCCACACTCCTAACCACTCAATCCAAGTCTCCTCCAACAAATCAGACCAATGGCAGTTTTCCTTCATTAATCACTCACTACACCCCCAGGACCATGCTGGCTCTTTGAACTCTAAGAGGTATATATTATAAACCCACTTACGAATGGGAAAACTGAGGTTCAGAGATGTGCTGTGAAGTTCCCTGGGTCACGTATAAGAAGAGCAAAGAAAGCTTCAGGGTGGGAAGGTCTGTTCATGCTATCTAACTAACTGTCCCAAACCCTAACTCACCAGGAAATTGAGGCCACAGGCAAATGTCTGGCCATCCTGGTCAGGTCTATAGGTCTACAGGACCCCACATTCTAGTTCCAGCTCTGCCAGGTGAGACTGTGTCCATCACTTGCCCTCTCTGGGCCTTAGCTGCCGTATGTGTAAAGTGGCAAGAGGCTGGCTGGTGATCTCTAAGGACCTCTGCATTTCTAATATCCACTGATCAGATGAGAACATGCCCATGATAGTGCCTTTTGCTCACTTGTCCCAGCTGGGGACAGCATTGAGCACAAGGCCCTGCAATTATATGGCCTCATACAGCTAGGCTGCATGTGGCAAGAATAAGGGCTGGACTCTGGAGTCAACCTCAGGGCTTACATCCTGCTTTGTAATTTAGTGATTTTGATCATTATTTAACTTCTGGCCTCAGTTAATGCTATGAATACTGAGATAATAATAGCCATACTCCTCAAGGGGTTGCTGTGAGGATCAGATCATCCACATGCATGCACAGAGCTGAGTCCATTAGAGATGCTCAAGGAATGTTGGCCATCACCATCCTTATTATTGGCTTCCAGAAAACAAAGGCTCAGACAAGAAACTGAATTTCAGTGCCCAATGACCTCTGGGGCCAGCTGGTCCACATTACAAATGCGGAAAGGGAAGCCAGGAGAGGGGAAGTGAGTCCCCCAAAGCCCACAGCACAAGAGGCAGAAATGGAACTGGAACCTCCACTTCCATGGTAGGCCCAGTCCCCTGCCCTGCACAGTAGCTCTGCAGAACCCCTCTGCCTGCAGATGGCACTGGGGGCCAGTGTTTCCCATTTACCTCATGAGCTTGTCCCCATAGTCATGTGCTCAAAGCCCAATTCCTGGGCAGGAATTGGCTTCTGCAAGGTCACTGCCCTAAGCACCAACTTCTAGACTCCTGACCAACTGCCTCCCGCTTTAGTGCTTTGGAGCACATTAGGAAAAGGTGCGACCTGCAGAAGCCTCTTGACAGACACAGTGTCTTGCCAGCTGCATACCTTGACAAACAGAATGTTGGCCAATTTCAGCTCCAACTCACCTGCTAGCCAGGCGTCTGCACAAGACAACCAATACTACCACACTGCAGCCCTGACTAGGGGCCAGGGACCCTGAGTAAGGGTGCAGGGACAGGGATGGAGGGGGACAGCTGAAGCATCTCTAGGTGGTGGGGCCCAAACACCAGCAGGGAGTGCTGACTAAGCTGGCCTCCTCTGCTATGATTCATCCTCATCCTCTGAGGGTGGTGTGTTTAGCCGCATGTGAGCAAGCCCCTGTCCCCTGTCTAGAACACAGAATGATCCAGCCCCACTTTCCCACTGGGAACACAGGTGGTGCCACCAACTCATTTCCAGGGACAGGTCTATGGCTGAGACAACATTTGCTGACTTCCCAGA